TTATTATTATTATTATTATTATTATTATTATTATTATTATTATTATTATTAATTTTCCTTGCTCAGATCCTTCGATACCAGGCAGGATATGTTGTTTGCGCCGCAATTGCAGTTCTCTATTTTGTGGTGGTGCCCCTGGTCGGACTGAGCCTTTGCTGCTTCCAGAAAAACCGGCACTGCGGTGGACGGATCAAGGCCTATCGTCGCTCTCTGCTCTGCCAGCGGAACCTTCTCATGGTCTCTCTTCTCCTCACCACCCTCGTCCTCCTGTGAGTGTGAGAGGCGGAGCCAGATCCGTGATCGATCCTGTCTTGTTGTCCCCATAGAGATGCGGGGATCGGGAAGGACAGGAAGGGGAACCAGCATATGAGTCCAACAGAGATGCTAACGCTGTAAATTGAAAGCCAAGAAATGATATAGGAAAAGTCAAACAAAATAGCAACCCTGGTCCAAAACAGGTGTTCTCAAACCTGGCGACTTTAAGACATGTGGACTTCAACCCCAAGAGTTCCCCAGCCAGTGTAGCTGCTGTACCTTATACCTGTAAAGCAGTTTTTCATACTGTAAAACATACCTAATACTCCTTTCTCCTCCTATTTTCCCAAGCAGCCTAGAATAGCCCCACATTGAGATAAATTTACCAAATAAATAAGGAACAAACAAACAACAAATCTGGGCTGAGAGACAGTAACTGATCCTGACAGTTTCCATGCCTAAGGCAGGACTAGAACTCACTGTCCCCTGCTTTCCAGGCCAGCACCTCAATCCTACACCAGTTGTAGTCCACATGGCTAAAAAGTCACCAAATGTGAGAAACACTGGCTTCTGAGAGGGATCTAGTCTTGAAGTCTAGGAAATCTAGTAACCAAGTCCTCTTTTTTCTGCAATTTCTATGCCATGAGCCATGGTGGCGCAGTGGTTAGAGTGCAATACTACAGGCTACTTCTGCTGCCTGCCAGTTGCCTGCAATTTGGCAGGCAAATCTCACCAGGCTCAAGGTTGACTCAGCCTTCAAATGAGGACCCAGATTGTTGGGGGATAATAGGCTGACTCTGTAAATTGCTTAGACAGAAGGCTGTAAAAGCACTGTGAAGTATAAAAGTCTAAGTGCAATTGCTATTTCCCTCCCTCCCTCCTTCTTATTCCCTTTCCCCTTCTCCTTCCTGGTACCACAGTGGTTAGAATGCAGTATTGCAGGCTAATTCAGCTCACTGTCAGGAGTTCAATCCTGATGGGGCTCAAGGTTGACTCAGCCTTCCAGTGGGTCAAATGAGGACCCAGATTATTGGGGGATAATAGGCTGACTCTATAAACCACTTAGAGAGGGCTGTGAAAGCACTCTGAAGCAGTATATAAGTGTAAGGGCTGTTGCTATTTTCCACCAGGGGGTGTGTTATCTGTGCTTTTGCTGCCAACCAGAAGGTGAAAGAGGAGATGGACCCTGGTGCCCGAGATGCACTCAACACCCTGAGGACTTTGAGGAGCCATCTGAATGGGATCCCTCGAGTGAGTTGACTCTGAAAAAAACCTGGGGGACCAATCTCAAACGATGATGTTCAAAGACATCGTTTCTACTTCATGCTGAATATTTTGGCATAAGGCAACTCAGGGCATCGAGGATGTGTTCATTCCACAACGTTAAACAGGTCAAATTTGACCGAAGGGCAAATGGAGTGAAGCCAGAGGTGCAGGGTTTTTTAAAAAAAATCAGGACTGAAAAAGGACATTATTTGGGGAGGAGAAACCCTGGAAGGCCATGCAAATTCAGATGAGGTTTGAAAAGAATGCTTTTATCCATTGTTAAATTCAAATATAGAACTTTAGCTGGCTTTTATAAAGTTATCTTTAGAATACGGATGGTCCACACCATTTGGGGGGGGGGGGATAATAAGCTACAGACGGTCATTAAAATTGTGGGTTTTCATTTTGGCTGCAATAGTTAACCTGGGAACAGAGGCATTGGAAAGGATCTCAAGTTGTAAAAAAAAATGGAAGGATGGAACCTCTTAGGGCCGCTGCCCGCCGGTCGTGGGCTATTCATCCTCTTTACCATCATGTAACTACAAGGTTACCATTCAAGGCAAACCATTCCAGGGCTGAAAGGATCCAGGGAATCCCCTTGGTCAGAAAAATCAAGATTTTGCCTGTTGACAGCTGCCGTGGATTTTATATATTTCCGATCCCTTTGAAAAAAGCCATTTCTAGATCAAAGTTTGGAGATCCAGAAGTGACACTTGTTCGTGCTCTGGAGCCTCAGTGCATTGAGCATTTCCCTGGCACATGCCCAGCGTCACACGGTCACCAAGACGACGCCTTCGCTTGGCAGGTGTTTTCTAGGCTGCAAACCCTGGCAGCTGCAAGGCAGGGCAGGGAAAAGGGGGAAGGAGTGGGAAGAGCTGAGCTTCATGATGCCAGCAGCCTTTTCAAACTCTCCTGCAAGAGTTTTGTTGCACAAAGGAAGGCTTTGAGATGGGAGAATGGGGGTGGGGGACCCAGAAGCGCCCCCCTTCTCTTCCTCAAAGTCAGGGTAGGCTGTCCCTGGGGGAGAAAAAGGGGTCAGCCTCCCAGCCCCAGGAGCTTTCATCCTACCTCCGAGCTCCCATCTAAAAAACCTGGGGTGGCAAGGCTGCAGAAGGCAACAGCATTGTTGTCGTTTTTAAACCTTGGCCACTTTAAGATGTACAGAGTTCAACTCCCAGAATTCCCCAGGCAACACAGGTCATCCTTGCTGTGCCCCAAATTTCTGTTGCTAAGTGAGACCATTGTTCAGTGAGTTTTGCCTCGTTTTATGACCTTTGCTGCCACTGTATTCAGTCGCTACCAGTTCAGGCGAACCAATCCAAACCGACTGAATACTACTGTCAGCATTCCAAGTATCATGTAGAATTAAATCAGAGTCCAAAGCAAAACGATCCTTAAAGTTCCAATTTAATAACGCAGACATCTTAGCACATCTGTGTTAATCCCAATTCTGGAAATGACATCACAATTCCAGTTAAAAGTTCATGATCTTGTCCCCACACCCACAATCCATCACATGGTCCAATCTTCTTCTTCCACGCTGGC